TTTGATTGTACTAACAGAAACTTTTTTTACTCTACCACGGTTGAAAATAGCTTATATTTCTGGAGCAGTTAACAATAAATTGCTATTACTGATGATTTTTATTTGTTGGTTATCAGTATTTTTTGTAATATGGGAAAGACATGGTCAATTTCCGTCTCCTAATCTTCTAGTTTTTTTGTTTTGAAAATTATGTAACTAACTGTTGACTTTGTTTTTTATGCAATTTTTCTGACAGCATTCATTTTCTGACAAACTTCTTGAAGCAAAGTAAGTATTGCTGTTCATTTTCCTATACAGTTTTTCTATAATTATTGACTTGCCCCTTAAAATCCTGCACTTAAAAATGTTCACTAACTCACACAAAAATATATAAAATAACTGGATATAACACAGTAAACTAAAGAGATACCTATCAATTGGTAAAACAAATAAATTCTGGTTAGTACCCAAATATCTATTTATTAGTTTAGGTCGGTAAGATAAATGGAAAAAAAACAATAAATGTATTAATCAACTTAAAACAACTTTTTTTTTTTCTTTGTAAATTTTGTTCAACTTGATAAATTTTCAACATAAATTGTGTTGCCATGTTATAACATAATTACATTTAAACATTGCACTTAAAAAAAATTGCACTTAGAATTAAGGAAAAAAAGGTCAGCATTAAATTGCCTACCTCAAACTAGTAGAGGTTAGCATCAGGTTGGCAAAATAAATTTTACACAAAGGGGTTACCATAAAGCATAGAAATAAGGTCAGCGATTTTTTGCTAACCTCAAACACTTTTTGGTTGGCATTGCCATAAGCTGACCCTAATTCTGAGGGCTATATATATATATATATATATATATATATATATATATATATATATATATATATATATATATATATATATATATATATATATATATATATATATATATATATATATATATATATATATGTATGTATGTATATATATATATATATATATATATATTATATACATATATATATTATATACATATATATATATATATATATATATATATATATATATATATATATATATATATATATATATATATATATATATATATATATTGTAGTTTTTCATTATTATTATTGTAGGTTTTTATATATTTTTATTATTGTAGGTTTTTATATACTATTGTAGGTTTTTATTAACAATATTATATTTATTATTGCTATTCAAATGTTTGAAAATACTTGATTATTATAATTTCTCAATCTTAAAACTCAGGTGGATCGCCTTACCCTGGAATTGCATTAGAAAAATTGTTTGATTTATTAAAGCAAGGCTATCGAATGGAAAGACCACTTAATTGTACTGATGATATGTTGGTTTTTTTTTTGTCTATTTATTTTACTTTTATAAAAACAAATATTTTACAATAATTTATATTATTACAAATAAGTATTTGTTATTATTTTTTTATTTCATTTCGCAGGTATACACTTATGCTGAATTGTTGGAAAGAAATCCCATCAAAACGTCCGACATTTTCACAACTAATTGAAGATCTAGAAAGAATGCTATTGGATGCAAGTTCTACAGTAAGTAATTGAATAAAAATTTTAATAAAGCTTTTCTACTAATCTGTTATTTATTTTTCAATGAAAATAAGAAAAAACAAGAAACAATTTTTAGTTAAGTAATTTAAATGCTAACAATTAAACACAAGAGTTGGTTGTTTTTTTTTTCTTTTTTTTTAAAAGTTGTGTTATTTATAAACTGAACCCTAATTCTTCTAATTATTGTCATGTTCTTAATTGTTGAAATATTAAGAAGTTGGAAAACCTTTCTATGATAAGCTGCATGTTCGTTTATTTTGTAGGAATATGTAGATCTTCAACCAATTCAACCAGAACGCACAGAGTCATTTTCAACATCATTACACACTTCTGCAAGCATGTTGAATACAGATTTGCACGAGAAAAATAAATGTGATCATGACGAAATATCCTTCACTCATGAAGATGGTTTATCAGAAGCAGATATTCTTCTTAGTCACTATGCAGTTTCTTAATTACTTCAACTGCTTGAGACGTTTTTAGATGTAAACTTGATTTATCAGTTTCTCTAAATGATTGCCTTGTCATTAACGTGTATTGCATTTGACTTTCATCATGAAGAATCTAGAGATCTATCCGATTCTTCTCTATTAATAAACACTGTCATGAAGATTGTTTATATATGAATCATTGGATCAGGAACTTCTTGAGGATCATAATAAAAAGTAATACTAAATATGAAATTGCAGCTAAAACCAAAGGTTCGTAATTTTCGATGCGAGTAAATGAGCTTTTCAAAAAAGGAAAAAAAATAACACTGAAAAGTGAATGTCTTAAAATTTATGATTTGTTTAAATCGTATATATGTATATATATAAATATGTATATTTATTTCATATTTTTTGTAAAAATAATTTTTTTTTAGCATGTTTTGCAGAGTTATTTCTTAAGAAAATGTTAGCATACCATTTTTTAGCATTTTCATCTTTTGATTCGTGTTCTAGCGTACATATATGTTTTATCTTCGTTTATTTTTAAAAACAAAAAATTCCTAAATGATTTTTACAATTTATTTTTTAGAAGCCATATATTTATGATATAGTATTATGATGTTGATATATATAGAATCCATTTATTTATGATATAAACTATGATGGTACTGATGGTATGATGTTCATATATATCAATATAGTAACATTGTCATTCCAATAAAACTTTTAAATCTTAAAATATAAATTTCATACAATGGGAATTAAGTTTTGAGCGCTAAAGATAAAGTTCTTAAACGGGTGGAAAAAATAATCAGTATGTAAAAGTTGAAACTATTTTTATGTAGAAAAATGTATTATTTTTTATGTTGATTTTTATTTATTCTATAATATATTTTATGCTACTTTTTGCATAGTTGCTTTATATTGAATTTTGAAAAAAAAATGTCTTAAACATGTATGAAGTATTTTTCTTTTGTTATGAGAAGATGAGCTTCTAGCTTCTTTTTACATGTGAATCATCAGTAAAATTGGTAAGTTAATTAAGCGCAGATGGACGATTTTCAGGTTAGTGAACCCAGACCATCTAGGAAGAAAGGGACGATTTTTTGGTTTGATGAAACCAGACTATCTAGTAAAAAAAAAATGGGTGAATTAAATTTTTTTTTTAATTCTGAAACAAATGAATTGTACAAGTTTTTTTATATTTAATGAAAATATTTCCGTAAAATTCAAGAATAAAATTTGCGGAAATGTTTTTTATACATTTTAAATTCTTTATATCTAACTTGAGTACTATCATACTCCGAAGGAATTGTTTGGGAAAAGAGTTTTGAATTTAAAGTCATTTTATGACACAGTGAAATAGTTATGATAGCGGGTTTTGGCTGAAAAATAAATTAGTTCGAGAAAAAACTATAAGTCCTACATCAATATACAAAAAAAAAAACGTTAAAAAAAAATGCTGTTCTTTAATTTTTATAATTTTGCTTTTTTTTAATGAAATTTATTGCAAAAAGTTGTTGCTATTTAAAAAAAAAAATTCTTTAATATTGTATTGTGTCCGCGCGACAATTAGTCAAGTGACAATTGGTATTATTATTTTATGTTCTTTGAATACTTTTTTGGTATTTAAGGTGCCCGTCATTTTTTTCAATGCTAAAATTAATAAAAATCTTCATTCCACGATCAGCGCTAACTGTTTCATTTGTTGTTTGTAATTTATATATATATATATATATATATATATATATATATATATATATATATATATATATATATATATATATATATATATATATATATATATATAATATGAAAGAGATAAAATAAATTCCCAAAATTTATCTTATGAGCAAAATTTTGCGTATTTATTTTAATCTAACCATTTTTATTATTTTAGAGCTTTAGGTTAGATTTAGAACTTTTGTCGCAAAGTCTTTTCTGGAGGACTATTTTTATTCAAGTCATATGATCTTTTTTGGTGTATTGGTTAGAGTGCTCTGTGAAAAGGATCGTACAGACTTTTTAGAGACTCTAAATAACTAAAAATATATATATTATCTTCCAACTATTCTTTCAAGAGTTTGTAAAAAAAAGTAGTCTTTTAGAAGTCCACGTGGACTACTAAAAATATTACAATAGCAATATTTTTTAGTTTGCGCAATGTTTTTGCAGTTTTTTATTTTTTAACAAAGAAAATATTTTCATTTCCTTTTAATGTTGACTCGTAACAACAATTATAAAGTATATTTTTGGCTGTTGGATCTTTAGAAAATCCTAGCATTAGAAGTTAGAGCTTTTAAAAAACAAAAATAAGCTTGTGCTTTTTCGGCTAAACTCGATTAGACTTTTAGTTAAATAAATAACAACGTTATAAAAATAATGTGTGCAAAAACATTAGTTAAAGGCAACAAAAAATCTAGGAGTAAAGCAATTGAAAACCATGACAACAATAAATTACACAACTATTTATAATAATTTGTTTTATGAAAATGGGACTATTTTAAATCATGTAAAAGAGTTGATATTGCAAACATAAACCCAAAGCTTTTGTCACAATATTCTGAAATAATTAAGTAGTATTCGTTTTTTTATTTTTATATCTTAAAAACACTCGTGTACTACTTTGGTTGTTTGGTTTTGTAACGTAAATAAGCTTTTGTAACGCAATTTGATGATTTTATGATTAAATAAAAAAACAAAATTTTCTACTAAAAACAAACAGTACTGGATAAAGTGTACATTTCATACCACAAAATCAGATTTTATTTAAACTAGATCATAACAGGTAAATAGATCATTTTAATTCATTGCTGAAGATCAAAGTTACCGCCACTCTTTGGAAACTATGCAAGTTTGGATATTTAACGTCATTTTTTAAATACTTTCTAAATAAACCAATATTTTCACGACATACTCACTTTGCTATACTTCTTTCCGTAAACATATTATAACCCATAAAACACTCAAAGACTTAGATAAGAAATTTTAGTTGAATAAGAATTTTTTATCATTTTAAAATATTATAGTTGTTTAAAGAGTATCGCTAAGCCAAAGCTTGTTTATAATAAAACTTTAAAATCAAAAATAATTTTAGTACTTTTTCAAGAGTACGTATTAAGAGTTACAAAGTTTATGAAATCATTTTAGTGATATTGAGGTATTATAAATAGTACAAATTTTTTTTTTTAAATCAAAGTTATTATCATTATAATATTTTATATAATAAAAACTAAAAAAGTTATAAACAACAAAAAGCTTAGCTATAAACAAGGAAAGTGAAATATCCAGACTATTCTGATTTTTACTTAAAATGGATTCAAGTATTCCTATAGGTTTCAGCTTCAACCTTGAGCTTGCAAAGTTATTTGAAATGCGCAAACTACAAAGGTTCTTATCTAAGCGTTGCACGTTCATCATTTAACACGAGTTATACCAATGTTAATAGCGGATTAGCAATCAGGCTTTTAACTAGGGCATCTTTTAAATGTTTGAAATAGTAAATTTGTAGGCATGATACAGAGTATAGGCTTTCGCACGATCATAACTACGTAAAATTTGCAAAAAATGTCGGTAATGAAAACTTTTATGATAAATAAAACATTCTTTTATAAACTTCTTGTTCTTATGTTTTGAAGTTGAGGGTTTTGTTCTTATATTTTATATTATATATTTTATATTCTTGTTCTTATATTTATGGAGTTATGTTTCATTATGTATTCATAAACTAAAACTGTAGGTTTTAGCTTATGAAAACATAATGAAACATAAACTAAAACTTGATCATTTTACGTGATGACGAAAACCAGGTATTTACGGTTTAACGGATTAACAATGAGTTTTTACATTCATTTTTTTGTTTTTTGTTTTTGCTTCATATAATCACTTGTGTACTTTTATACTTTACCATTTTTATAGTTTTTTTTTTTTTCAAAGTTTTTGTAACTTAAATAATTTAATTCATTAAATTTTTAATGCATTTATATCAGTTACCGCCATTTTTTTCTATCTATTCTAATGGTAGTTTTATGCGTTTGAGTTATTACCAGCAACTTTTAAATGCTTTCAAAATAACACAACATTCTCTCAAAATATGTATCATTTTTCCTTCTTCTTTTCATAAACCTGTTATAACCCAAAAACGAAAATCTTAACAATTACACATCCATCATTAAATTTGAACCAATATCAATAAAGAAGTAGTGATCAGGGTTATAACTAGATTTTTCAGATGTTCGAAAGTGTTATTTTATGTACGTAAAATATTTATGTACGAAACAAAGTGTAAGCTTTTATATGTTCATAATTATGTTGAACTTGAAAAAAATGACGACGATGGGAATCTTTAGAATCGTTAAAAAATATTTCAATGATAATAAACTTGTTCCTCTCTCATTTGAAGATGATAATAAACTAATAAGATTTTAAAGGTAATGAACAATAAGTTTTTGTTCTCAGGGTCTAATCACAATATTTTTTGCAAACCATTTTCAATTGACAGGTTTAAAAATTACCTACGCTACTGGTAAAAATTGCAAATTTAGCAATTAAAAATTTGTAAGAGCGGATCTACCAAAATGTTAAGTACTTATGGAAAAAATCTCAAATCATAAAGTTTATGATAAAAGGTTTAAACGGTATATATATATATATATATATATATATATATATATATATATATATATATATATATATATATATATATATATATATATATATATATATATATATATATATATATATATATATTATATATTTATATATATATATATATATATATATATATATATATATATATATATATATATATATATATATATATATATATATATATATATATGTGTATATATATATATATATATATATATATATATATATATATATATATATATATATATATATATATATATATTTATATATATAAGGTTTAGCTTAGGGTTTGGTTTGGGCATGGTTTTCAATAAAATAAATTTTATTTTTGGGTTAGAGTATACTTTTCAATAAATGTTATGTATAAAACGTGAATCGTTTTTTACGGACTTTAAAAGTGGGATGCCTGAAATACACGTCAAGGTATGACTATTCAAACTTTGCCTTGAACCAACAAATATCCGCTAGTTTAAAAAATGGTTTTGGTCATTGTTTCTGTTCTGCGTGCAGTGTAGGTGTCACGTGGGGGGGGGGGGGGGTGCTATTACAACTTTTGCCGACTAAAAATAATAATAATAAAAAAAAATAAGGTCCTCGTTTTCCAAAATTTGCCGACTGCTATGACGACTTTTGCCGACTGTCTTTTGTCTAGGTTACCGAC